CAATGTAAATAGTATTTTCCACTTAATTGGTACCTGGAAAATGGTACCTTAAAGAAGAAAAAAAGATTTTCTATGCAATATGGAGCTAGTTCAAGTACTCATATAAGAGCCTTACTGGAAGACATGATTTTGAACTTCATGCATGTGAAAATAAGATGTAAGATTGGACACGCATTTAACACAGTTACCTGACTATTCCCTCCTCTGTAGCACTGCCCTCAGGGACATCACTGTCCTCTAACCCCCTTGTTTGACTGTGTGTTTCTTCTCGCCTCTGTCCCTCTGCCTGGCTCTTAAATGCTGGGGCTAGAAGGCTTCTCTTCAGGGCCCCCGAGGCTCAGACCACACTTGTTTCCCTGGGTGATATCACTGTCAGTTGTGCCTTCAGCTACCTCTCACGTGGCGACAGCTCCCAAATCCCTAGTGTGTGTGTGGTCTCCCTTTAAGACTCATGTGTCAGGTGGCCAGCTGAACACCTCCACAGACTCCTTAGTCACGGTGAACTAAAAACCAGGTTTGTGTCAACCAGACCTTCTTTTCCTTGTGTTCCCTATTTCCATGAATGGTTCTAACATCATCCCAGTCTCTCGTGACCCAGGACTTTTCCTGGACTCGTTCTTCTCATTGACTTGCTGATTGCAGATAGATGCCACCTCATGTTCAGTCTTTGTCTTGACCATCAGATTCATTTCTTACCCTGTACCTAATTGCTTCCGCCACAGCGTAGACCATTATCTTCTCATGCTTGGATTATGGCATCAGCCTCCCAGATACCTTTCTATTTCATTCTTTTCTCTCATCCTCTACTTATAACAAGGTTGGGCTATCCCAATTATGAATTTGATTACTTGACTCCTCTACTTGAAGTTCTTATATGACTTCTCATTGCTTTTAAATCAACCTCCAGACATTTCCTAGCATGACATGCAGAACCTTTTGTGTTCTGGCTTCAGCCTGTTTCTCCTACTTCATCATCACCAATTCACCTTCCTCCTTCCACTCACAAGCCCCCGCTTCACTTGTCCAGTGTGTTATTGTTCAGCACTTGTGAGTTTCCTATGGAAGGAGTGTTCTCATGTTTCTCCACACTTGCCTGTGTCTGGCACATGCTTCCCATTTTGACCCATTATTTTAAAGCAACTCAAATGTTGACTTTTGTAGAAAGACTTGTCTGATAACTCTCTCGTTCTAATCCTGGTTAAGTGTTCATCCTGTGCTCTTTGAGCAGCGTGCTTTTGATTTACCTGTAATCCACTGTCCTTGAAAGGTAGTCTTTATTCACCTGCTTCGTACTTGGCACATTGCGATGGTGGTTGGTGGCTTAGTTGCTATATCGTGTCTGAGTCTTGCAACACAGTGGGCTGTAGGCCGCCAGGCTCCTCTCTGCCCATGGGGTTTTCCAGGCAAGAATACTAGAGTTGGTTGCCATTTCCTTCTCCAGGACATCTTCCCCTGCTGGGGACTGAACCTGCATCTCCTGCATTGTAGGCGGTCTCCTGCATCGCAGACGGATTCTTCACCATTGAGCCACCAGGGAAACCCTATGCCCATGAAACATAGGCTGACTAAGTGAATGTTTTTATGCCTGCCTATTAGAAGTATATAACAATTTAAAAGTTATTTCTTAATTGAGATATCACCCCTTTAAAGTTCACAATTCAGTGATTTTGAGTATATTCACAAGGTTGTTCAACTATCACGTCGAATTCCAAAATATTTTCATTACCCCAGAAAGAAACCCTGGACCTTTTAGCAGTCATTCCCCATTCCCCTCCTCCCTCTAGCTCCTAGTAATCACTAACCTACTTTTTGTTTATATGGATTTGCCTTTTTTGATCGTTCATATAATACATAATACATACATAATTTTAATACATAAATTTCATAATAATACATAATTTTCTTTTGCAGCTGACTTCCTTAACTTTGCATGTTTTTGAGATTCAACTATGTGGTAATATGTGTCAGTACTTCATTCCTTCTTATTGCCTAATAATACTCTTTATTCTTTCATTCTTTGATGGACACTTGGGTCATTTCCTGCTGTGAACATCAGTGTACACATTTTTGTGTGGACATGTTTTCATCTCCCTTGGGTGTGTACCTAGAAGTGGAATTGCTAAGTCATGTGGTAACACTCGGTTTAACATTTAGAGGAACTGCCAAACTGTTTTCTAAAGCAGCTTCATCATCTACACATTCCTGTCACCAGTGAATGAGTTTTCCAATGTCTTCCTTTCCTTGTCAGGTTTTGTTACTGTCTTTTTCTTTTAGCCTCCCCAGTGGGGTGCAGTGGTATCTCCTTGTGGTTTTGAATTGCATTTCTCTAAGGACTAATGATGTTGAACATTTTTTTCCGTGTCCTTTTGACCATTTGTATGTTTTCTTTGGAGAGAAGTATCCATTTAAATCCTTTGCCTGTTTTTAAGATTGGCTCATTTGTCCTTTATTGTTGAATTCTTTATATATTTTGGATGTAAGTCCCTTATTAGATATATGATTTGCATATATTGTCTCCCATTCTGTGAATTGTCNTCCTCCAGCTCAGCGTTTCTCATGATGTACTCTGCATATAATTTAAATAAGCAGGGTGACAATATACAGCCTTGACGTACTCCTTTTCCTATTTGTATATTTTGTATAAAAAATAGTTCTTTGTATATTTTGGATATTAGACTCCTCAGATATATGATTTGCAAAAGAAGTGAATAATTAAAAAAACAAGTGTAGTACTGATATGTCCTACAACATGGATGAACCTTAAAAACATTATGTTAAGTGAAAATGCAACATATTGTATGATTCTGTTTATTTGAAATGGCAAATAGGCAAATCTATACAAAGTGAAAGTAGTTTCGTGATCTCAATGGGCTGCAGGAAGGGGCGGTTGGAGAGTAACTGTTAATGACACAGGGATTCTTTTTGGGATGATGAAAATGTTCTAGGATTAGAGAGTGGTGATGGTTGTACAACATTTTGAATATACTTAGAATCATTAACTGTATAGTTTAAAAGGGTGGATTTTATGGTATGTGAATTATACTTCAATACATCTTAAAAAAATGAAAATCCAATGTACTTTGTTTTTTGAACTTTTCAAGTTTGTACCACTTTTGAAGATAGCTGTGAAATTTTCCATTGGTCAGGGTACCAGGTCTTTGAATTCTTTTATCATTGGCAAGCAAGGAGAGTGTGCTGTGTCTTCTGTCCCTGCCTAATTTTTTTTATTTAAAAAATGTTTTTATTGAAGTATAGTTGATGTACAGTATTACGTAAGTTATAGATGTACAACATAGTGATTCACTATTTTTAAAGTTTATACTCCATTAACAGTTATTATAAAACACTGGCTATATTCCCTGTGTTGTATAATATATCCTTGTAGCTTATTCATTTTGTACTCTGTAGTTTGTACTTCTTAATCCCTTACCCCTATTCTGCCCACCCCCCCTTCACACTCACCACTGGCAACCAACCACTAATTTGTTTTCTGTATCTGTGAATCTGTTTCTGTTTTGTTATATTCACTAATCTATTTTTTAGATTCTGCATGTAAGTGATATCATACATTATTTATCTTTCTCTGTCTGACTTATTTCATTTAGCTTAGTACCCTCCGGATGCAAATGGAAAAACTTCATTCTTTTTTGTGACTGAGTATTTCATTGTCTATATACACCGCATCTTTATCCACTCTTCTATTGAGGGGTATGGAGGTTGCTTCTATGACTTGGTAATTGTAAACAATGCTGCTATGAACGTTGGGGTGTGTATATCTTTTCAAATTAGTGTGTTTGTTTCTTTGTTTCTGATATATACCCAGAAGTGAAATTGCTGAATCACACAGTAGTTCTTTCAGAGTTTTGAGAAACCTCTGTACTGTTCCACAGTGGTTGCACCAATTTCCATTCCTAGCATCAGTGTTTGAGAATTCCTTTTTCTCAGCATCCGTGTCAACATTCGTTATTTGTGTTCTTTTTGAAGATAGCCATTCTGACAGGTGTGAGGTGATGTCTCATTGCGGTTTTAGTTTGCGTTTCTTTGATTAATGATGTTGAGTATCTCTTCACATGCCTGCCTGTTTTTTTTTTTAATGTCAGTGGTACTATGATACTTTGAAAGTCCCTCTTTCTTTGTGTAAATTTAGACAACCAGATACTTTTAGATTTAGTTTCAGTTTTGTTTTCATTAGTTGTGATAGGATTGAATATTAGATGCATTTCCTTCACTCCTATGATGTCTTCATTTGGTTTAGATTGGGACCCCTAGATATTTTTCTATCATCACATATACTAAGAAAATTGTGTATGAGGTTGGGTTGTGTGGAGTTTTGGAGTTTTGATTATAGTTTTAGTGCTTTCTTAAAGACTAACTTACCTTGGAATAGTGATGGTGAATTATGGGGTTTAATATTGAAACAAAAAAGATATTTGTGTTCATTTTAATTTTCTCACAATTAGTACCCAGTACTTAAAATTCACTTTTGTTATACCTAAAATTTTTTTAGATATTGGTTTTAATTTCTGAAATTGCAGTGAAATATGTCTCAGGATTTTCTAGCATTATCAGGAGCTTAACATTGTAGCTTAATATCAGTAGCTTTAATATTGTGAATGAGGAAAACTTAAGTATAGAAAAAAGTGATTTTCCCTAAAAATTTGGGGAGTGAATTATTTTTTCATAGTTAGATGAAATTGAACAATAATTACTTTTTCTAGAACTCTTGACGATTTGAAGTTTTCTCTGTACTATAGAATTAACCACAGTTAATTCTATTGTGATGCTAGTTTCGGTTCTTCGATTCTGATAGAGATTTCTAAACATTAAGGATAGCAGTCTCCATTTTCTCTTATGCTTCTGAACCTTCTTTTAAAATGTGTTTTCTCCCTGTCATCTTTCTGCCATTCCCCTCCCCACCCTTCCTTACCCTGCCCCTTGCCACCAAACTAAAATGGGGAGAGTTTGTAAAATAACTGTTGGTGGTTTTGTTTTGTTTATAGAATAAGCTGTGACCATGACTACTGAAGTGGGCTCCGCATCTGAAGTGAAGAAGGAATCTGACCAGTTAGGAGCAGATGCAACCAAGGAGAAACCGAAAGAAGTAGCGGAAAATCAGCAGAATCAGACGACTGATCCAGAGGAGGAAAAAGGTTCCCAATCATCTCCTCCAACTGAAAGCCAAAGTAGCCCACGCCGCCAGAAAAAAGAGAAAGATCCATCTGAGAGCCGGGGGATTTCTCGATTCATACCTCCTTGGCTTAAGAAACAAAAGTCCTATAACTTAGTAGTGGCCAAAGATGGAGGAGATAAAAAAGAGCCTACCGAACCTGTTGTGGAAGAACAGGTTTTAGACAAGGAGGAATCTCTTCCTGAAGAAGAAAGGCAGGCCAAGGGTGATGCTGAAGAAACAGCTCAGAGAAAACAACAGGAGATTAAGCTTGACGTCAAGGAAGAGAAACCTCTGGTGAGCAGTCAGGAGACACAAGTATTTTGAGAAGTGATTGTCTGGAAGTGAAGGCTTTGATGGCATAACCAGGTTAACAGAAAGGATTTGTTTTGAACCATTTCCAGATTTCTTGTATTCAGATACTGCTTTGGCTTACTGTATCTGGAATATGGATCTTGGAGGGTCTACCACAACATTCTCTTGTTATTCCTTTTAAAGCTTTCAAAATAAAGAAAAAAAAAATCCCCCGTATATGCAGATCATAAAAAAGTCATATCTATTCATTTTAGGGCTAAACAAGTACTCTCAGGCAAGGATCACCTTGCTTCTTAAATAATGCACGCTTTTGTATCTTTGATTTATTTAAGTGTTCAAGGGGGTAGGAAGAAGTAGATTTGTATGTGTGTGCATTTTGGTTGCCTATTGAAGCCTAAGTTTTGCCATGGTTGTGTGATTAGGAGTTTTATTACTTAACATGATATTTAAATGTCATTGCTGGGACATAGTTTCTTTTACTCATTTAATGCTGATGTTGCCAAAGTGGCAGAACAGGAAAATTAACAATGGACTTTATAATTAGCAGGACCAGTGTTCCGTCAGGCTGTATCGATCATGTGCCTTGGCTGGTGTTCATTCTGAAAGGGCATTAAATAGCTTGAAATGACCTGTGGCCCTGACTGTTTCACTTAAGGAGAAACGTTGCAGTAGGTTGAAATTTCAGAGTAATGAAATTTCAGCAGTTTAACCTCAAGTGTTTTCATCCCGAGACAGGTAATGATTTAAAATCTAGCTCATTTAATTAAAAGACACTTTTGATTTATAAAACTTATCATTGATTAGCACCGATGCTGACCAAAGTCAATGTAATTTTTTTAAAAGCATTTAATGCCTTATAATTTTATGATAATCCAAAGTTTGTTCCTTTTCAGAGCTCAGGTACTTTATTTACATGATGTATAGTTTGCTGTGTTGTGCTTAGTCGCTCTGTCGTGTCCAACTCTTTGTGACCCCATGGACTGTAGCCTGCCAGACTCATCTGTCCATGGGGATTCTCCAGGCAAGAGTTATTGGAGTTGGTTGCCTTGTCTTCCTCCAGGGATCTTCCCAACCGAGGGATCGAATCCAGGTCTCCTGCATTGTAGGCAAATTCTTTAGCATCTGAGCCACCACGGAAACCCAAGAATACTGGAGTGGATAGCCATTCTCTTCTCCAGGGGTTCTTCCCAACCCAGGAATCGAATTAGGGTTGCAGGCTGATTCTTTACCAGCTGAGCTACCAGGGAAGCCATACATGACGTATACTAATAGCTAGTTTTTACTGAAGACTTATGTCAAGAGCTTTGAATGGGTTGTCTCATGTAATACTGATAAGATTGTATATGAGGTAGGCATTATTATGGATAGTCCCCATCTTATAGTGAGGAAATACAAGGCTTTAAAGAGGTTAAGTAACTTGCCCCAAATTTCATAGCTAGTTAGTGGTTGGATCACGAGTCCAGACCTTTGACTGTGAAGATCTTGAACCTGACCACTGAACTCTTTATCAGTGCTTCATGCTCCTTACTTACCTTTGTATTATTTGGGTAGAACTTATTTTACGCATTCAGTTACAGTTGTTCTCATATTTTAGTTGTTTTGAGAAAAGGAGTGGCAGCAGATGATTAAAAATCCTTAGAGCTCACACAGAATAATACGGTATGTCTTAGGAGTAGAGGTGGGGACAATGAGAAACAAAAGAACGGTGTTCTGAACTTGACTCAGTTGCACTGTTTGGTCCTATGTCCCTCGTTTTTCCTACCTATCCTAGAAGTTAGGAAGTTTAGATTTTAAGAATGAACTTGTTGATAACTTGTTTTGTGACCTTGAATCATTTACTCAATCTCTGTGTGTCAAACTGAGGCCTCGAAATTGACTTCATCTTTAGAATACAATATTACTTAGATAATCTAGAAGGCCCCTGTCATCTCTGAAGTGCTTTATATCACCAAACCTTGTGATTGACCAATGTGCTTTATGGTTTAAATCTACTTTTGTTCTCTGTCTTTTTAAAAAGTCATGATATATTTAAAAATACAAAAATATAGTAATAATAGAGTTGTATATTCACCATAAAAATTTTAACCAGATTCATCATTTAGCCATGTGTTTTAGATATTTTAAAAATAAATAAAACATTTCAGCAATCAGTGCTTCAGTGAATATTATTATATATGTTTCCTTGTTTATTTGTGTAAGAGTTTATTCAGGGTAGAACACCTCAGAGTAGAATTGATAAGATGTAGTTTTACTTCTTCTGTTTTCTTAGATTTGGCAAAGTGGTTGTGCCAATTTAAATTTCAACCAGCAACTGCTGTTTGATTTTTCCACATTGTCATCATCACTTTTTGTTATTAGATTAATTTCAACCTATCATAATGGTATGAAATATCCCCAAATTTTAGTTAGCACTTACTTGATTATTGTCAACTTTTGCTAGGTTATACTATGATAACAGCCTCCAGGTCTTCTGGATGCATAATGACAGTGGTTTATTCCTTGCTCATGTTACATGCCCTCGATGGGTTGGGTGTAGGCTCTGCTCCATGTCTTCTTGATTTTTGAATCAAGACTAAATGTGTATCCTCTATGATAAATGGAAAGAAAACACAGTGGAACCACACTGTGGTCCTTGAATCTTCTGCCTGGATATAGTATATCTTTATATATAGATATAAGATACGCTACTTATATCTCATTGGCCAAGCAAGTCCTGTGGTTAATAGGTGGGTAAGCCTGAGCCCATCACAGGAAGAGCTTGGTAAATAATTGAAAATGTGGAAATAATCCTACAATTTACTCAAGAGGCTGAGCATCTTTTTGTAAGTGTAGTTTTCTAGGATTGCTGTAGGAGTAAAAAAAAAAAAAAGGACATTCTTTTTCAGATTCAGGATATTCTTTTCTTAGTTTCTAAGATTAAACTAGAAAGTTTTGTGACTAGATGGTAAAAGACATGACTTAGGTAGTCAATCTTTTCTAATGAATTTTCTGCATCAACTGAGAGGATCATTTTTTTTAATCTGTTAATGTAATTTATATTAATGTTTTCTAATGTGAAGCTATCGTTGAATTCTTAACATAGATACTTGTGATCATTTGGCATTGATTTTGTATTTTTAACCTGTGGTTTTTGCATATATTATTTTTAACTTTCTTTTATCAAATTGTCTTCATTAGATTTTGTTATCTGGATTATGTACTAGATTTTAGAGCTGCTTGCCTTTCATATTCTCTAAAAAATGTTCTGATAAGTTAGGGTTTTAACCGTTCTTTGGAGATCTGGTAGAACTTGCCTTTAAAACTGTCTTGGGCTGGTGAACTTTTTGTGGGAAAAGTGGAGTTGGGAGGGTTTTTTTTGTTTTATTAAATCATTGATTTGATTTTCTAATAGTCTATTTCTGGTTTAATTAGTTGTAGTAATTCATATTTTTAGTGGAAACTGCCCATTTCATGTAACTTGACAAACCTATGAAGTTGTTCATAGTGTTCTTGTATTTTTTATTTCTTTCTAATTCTTGTGGTATTTGCATTTTCTTGATTATTTTTGATATAGAGTTAACTATTTAAATCTTTTCTTTCAAAGAAACAGCTTGGTTTTGTTTGTTTCTTTTCTGTTTTTTAAATTTTATTATTTGCTTTTTTCCTTGGAATTATTCTGTTTCAAGAAATTCCCCAATTTCTTGAATTGAGTATTTGACCAAAAAAAAAAAAAAATGTATGTTTTCAGGGCTCTAATATTCCTTTCAGGTATCTCTTGTTGGGTGCACAAGTTTTAAAATACTGTATTTTTCATTGTCATTCAGTTCCTAATATTTTCTCATCCCATTATGGGTCCACTTAATTGATTAGAGAAGTTGAGGAGTCTTTATTTCAATGACTATATTAATTTGCAGATTGTCTTTTCAGCTAATAACTAATTAGTAAATATACCATCATAAGAATGAGCTTTTGAGGACAATACATAAATCTGAAATAAGCTTACAGCATGTAAAATGTTGAGTAAACTTTTTTTTCTGTCAAGTACAAAGCAAATGGAATTTGAATAGACTTCAGTGATGTGACCCCACAGCAGATTTTATGTACCAGCGGTTCAGTGGAATCCTAGGCAGCAAGTTTATATGTGACCAGAGGCTGTGTAATTCATCACTGTCACAGTAGTAGTTGTAACGATGCCCACATGATACGTGGTATTCCCTCTCTGGATGAGTTTCTGTTCTATCCAGTTCTCTTTCCTATCTTGGCTCTTTGAGTTCTCAGCATCCTTAGAATGTGGATCCTGAATCCCACTGCAGTCACTTCCGCTTCAGAGCAGAGCCGGAAGGCAGCTGTCACGTGGCTGGAGCGTGCTCTCGCCCCGAGCCCCAGCACTGCCCTCAGACGGTCGGCCGGTGCCGCTCAGCCCTGCTTCTGTAGCTCTCTGCCGGAAATTGGCGTCTGAGGACTGCCTGGGGGGGAAGTGTGCTGCGGGAAACTGCAACGGTTAATGAACTCGAAAGGACTTAAGGAAATGAACACATTGTGGGAAATAAACACTTTTAATTTATTTGGCCGGGAGATTGGATTTGTTTCCAGTTGTTTACTGTCATTGAAGATGATAATTATGTCTTTCATGGCTTTTTAGATGCCTATAGTTATTGCTTGCTTTTTTTTTCTGTACATACATGTATCTTAAGTTTCAACTAGAATTTCAGATTATAGCCCACCCACTGAAGATGGCCTAAATGTCCTCACTTAGGGCGCCTACAGCAGGAGGAAAGCATGGCCTGCTCGGGAAGTCTTGAGTTGGAACAGCCTAACTTGTAAGGACCTTGTAGAGGAGGATGAGGTTCTACAAGGCCACAGATGTCAGGATAAGAGGATTTAAACTGATCGGTAGAGTGAAAGGGGCTGAGAAGAAATGGACCAGAGGTTTACAGTTGTTAGGATATAAGACCTAGCAAAATTAAGAATGCTACTTAATTTTAGAATATGACTGTAGTAAT